CTGGAAGAAGGCCGCCTTTGGGCCCAGCATCACTTGGTGCGGTTGGCAGTTCTGCTTCCGAACCGAAACCGTCTGCCTCGCCCAGCCCAAGTTAGACAAACTCCGCGCACAGCTGTTGCACTTGCTGCAACACAAACGAGTCCCTCGCAAGGAGCTCGAGGCCTGCCTAGGCCTACTGATGTGGGCAACGAGCATTAGCTCGCACCTCCGCTGCTTCACGGCCCCGATATACTCGGACCTGCACAGCCCGCCTGGCACATGCTACCCGGTGCCCCCCAGAAGCTGGTCACAGTTCCTGTGGTGCCTCGACTCCTCCTGCAAAATCGTCCGAGATGCCTCATACCTCCAACTCCCGCTGCAAGCCCCAGTCATTGAGGTCCGGGGGAAGCCTGTCCGGGCCAAAACAGACATATGGCCCATACCAGCCGCCGACAAGACGATCTGGGTCCGCATCGCAGACCCCTCGGCCTCCGAAATCACATTGCGCAATGAAAGCAAAGCCGCCATACATTGGCTCGCCCAATGCTTCGCCTACGAGTTCACAATGCCCTTGGCCCGACAGCCCCTGCTGCCTTGCCTATCCGCCGCAGACGCCATGGCGGATGGAACCACAGTCGGAATCGGTGGCTGGCTCGCCACGTCTTCCACCACCTGGTGGTTTGCCCAGCAATGGGACATCCAAGAGCTTCGCACTGCATGGCCTTTCCTCACTAAAGACGCCCAAAGATACATCGCCTGCTTTGAAACTGTGGCACAGTGGGTTCTGCTACAGATGGCCTACGAAGCCACCGGTTGCTCCAGCCTCAGGTTCTGCGTCGCCTCACGAAGCGACAACAGCCCTACTCAAGCCTCCATCAACAAACTGTTCACAACGGCCTTCCCGCTCAGCTTCTTTCTGGAAAAAGTGGCCTCCTGGGCCCACGCACGCGGCCTAGAATTGGAAATCGGCCATATCCCTGGAGCCAAGAACACCGATGCGGATGATCTCAGCCGCAATCGCCTGCAGAAGTTCTCACGCTCTGGCCACGCTCGCAGATTCGCGGTGCACCTTTCGCACCTGCACAAGTCGGCCCACGAGGTCACCCTAGCCTCGGCCGAAGTGCCCTGGAGCCAAGGCCTCCTGGACATAGCGTCCCCTGCGCAAGCCTAGCAGACCACACGCGGTGGGGGTTGCCTGGCCTTACTTTCACTCGCTGAAGTGGGGGTATGCCGCATATCAGGCCCGGCGCCTCTCGCCTGAGGGGCCTCCCGGCCTGATTGCCAAACTCGCCCAGAGCAGCACCCGTGAAAAAGGCCGGCGTGTGCAGGGTAGGACGTTGCTGCCCCTAGTCCCCCTCCCGTAGGGTCTTTGGGATCTAGAGGGCTCGCACTACCCGCTCTCTCCCCAACTAGGGTTAGGTCTTGCAGTGGGCGTTGTCTGAACTCCATCATGCGAAAGTCGTGTTTGCAAATGCGGGGGAGGGGGGGGGGGGGCTGCCCCCGGCCAACCCCCGCTTTATTTTTAGCCGCGCAAGCTTGCTTCAACGCATATGCATACATTTTCGGCAACCCATCATGCGAGCATTGGCGAGCATCGTGTTTGCAAATGGGGGGGCTGCGCCCCCCCCCAACCCCCCCGCTTTTTTAAGCCAAGCAAGCTTGCTTCAAAGCATATGCCATATGCATACATTAAAATGTTGCAAATCCATCATGCCAGAATCGTGTTTGCAAATTTGGGGGCCTCGCCCCCCCCCCCCATCCAACCTCCCCGCTTTATTTTGGGCCGTGCAAGCTTGCTTCAAAGCATAGACATACATTTTGAAAACCCATCATGCGAGAATCGTGTTTTGCAAATGGGGGGGGGGGGTTGCGCTCTCTCCCAATCCCCTCCTTTTTAAAAGCCGCGCAAGCTGTCTTCAAAGCATATACATACATGCCGTTCGTTCGTGCAAGTCCAACAAAGTAAACCCTATATTTGTTACGTAAGAAAACCTCTACAGCAAACCTCTATGCGTTTGTCTGGTTTAGAAGCCCTATGTCTGTTAATTTTAAACCTCTTTTCCTTTTTTTTGGAAATCTCTATCTGTTTCTGTTAGTAGTACAACCTCTAGTTTCTTTGTGTATTGAATAGGCAAACCCTCTTTCCCCGCATTCTATGGATAACCTCTATCTCCTTTCACTTTTAATGGTAAAACCCTACATTTCACGGACAAAACCCTAAGTTTCCTTGGTATTTGGATAGGAATACCCGCATTCCCTTTGTATGTTAAGAATAGAACCTGTATTTCCTTTGTACTCTATGCGGAAAACCGCTATTTCTTTGGATTTTAAGAGGAAAACCTCCATTCTCTTTGGAGTTTGATGGGAAAACCTCTATTTCCTCTGGATGTTAATAGGAAAACCTCTTCTCTTTGAATTTTAATAGGAAAACCGCTATTTTCTTTGGATTTGAACAGGAAAACCTCTATTTTCTTTGGATTTCCTCTATCTTGCAACTCCCCCCCCCCCCCCCCCCCCCCAAACAAAAAAAAATTGGAAAGGCAAAAAACAATCAAAATAATTCCTCGACCATAGGTTTACAGCAATGTAGACTTAGCAAGAACCCTGGATACCCTCACGCACGAGTCTTGACCATCTGCAGACTCCCAGCGACCTTTGCCACGAAAAGGATCGCCATAGCTTCTCGTGTGGAACCCAAGTTTGAAGCACATAGGTTTTTCCTTTATTGGCCTCAAGGGGTTTTGGAAGAACCCAAGTTTCAAACATACAGGTTTTTCCCTTTTTAGCCTTAAAAGGTTTAGGCATTGCCTGGGTAGGCCCTTCCAGGGGGTTAAAATGAAGACAGGGGGGGGTCATACCAAAAATTAGGGGGTCAAATCGAAGATCGGGGGCAGGGTCGAGATGAAGCCCGGCCGGCGCATACCCGGGCACCCGGCGCATACCCGGGCACCCAGCGCACACCCGGCGCATACCCGGGCACCCGGCGCATACCCGGCGCATACCCGGGCACCCGGCGCATACCCGGGCACCCCGCGCATACCCGGCGCATACCCGGGCACCCGGCGCATACCCGGCGCATACCCGCGCATACCTGGCGCATACCCGGGCACCCGGCGCATACCCGGCGAATACCCGGGCACCCGGCGCATACCCGGCGCATACCCGGGCACCCGGCGCATACCCGGACGGGCGCCACCTACAATATTCGGGGTCGCTGTTTCCGTCCACTCTGGAAGATTTCGCCCAAGAGTCCTACAGAAACCTTCAATCTTTAATTTTCAATTATCAGATTACTTGTTGAGATCCCAAAAAATATAACTGAACATTAACGATTCTTTGCAAGACTCCCCCAGGAATCTTCAATCTTCAATCATCAATTTCAGGGTTAATTCGGAAGAATTCCTTAGAATTCATGAAGATAAAAACAGTTCTTAAGAGAAGGTTCTTGTGGGATGAAAAGGGTATGAAAACATGCATCTTTGGGGGGGGTCCAAAATCCATACTGCAAATGTAACACAACTTGTTGGAGAACTTATCGTACTTGTCTGCCCCCCGTGCCGTACTGTCGCGCGGGGTCCCGCTGCCAAAGCTCGCGCCCCGCAGTGTCCCGGTCCTGTTTACCGTCCCGTGTGGTCCTAACGCCAGAAGTCTGGCACCCCACAATGTCCCCGTCCTGTCCCTTGAAAGGCCGCCACCAAAGCTCGCATGCGCTGGTGTCCGTTTACAGTCCTGTCCCACGGGGTCCCGCCGCCACCTGCAACACCCCCACAGGGTCCGCCGTCCCCTACCGCGCCCCATATATATATATATATACCCTCCCATGCGCCGCCGACAAGAATCCTCGCAGACTCCCCGCTTGACACCCTAAACGAGAACCCAACTCCACAATGTTCCACATGTTGTAGGTAGCAACATGTTGATCTTTGACCGCTGGCAGTTTTCTCAAGTTTTGAACACATGATACAAAAAGCACATGAACGTCGTGTGTGCAAGTCGGTGTTGAGCAGGCGTAGGATGTCGAATTGACCACCGAGTTTCAACGAGCTGGCGCAATCTGCTACTTGCAACATGACCTGGACAGCCAAATGTTTGTTGGCCAGATTTGGCCAGTGTTTCAACAATTTTTTCCGACCAGTTGGCTTGTTCAAATCATCGCATTTGCAGGGTTACACGCCCGAACGATGCGCATGGTGGCGGCCACTGCCACATGATACGTACTTGTATTTCGCAGCTTTTCTTTCCGGTGCCGTTCCCGTGACTTGGCTGTTTGGGAGTATGAGGTCTTGTGTGGCTGGTCTTGGCGTTTCGTGCATATTCTTGCATCTGAGTGGCGGTGCAAAGCGGTTGAACTGATTGCGTTTTCGACTATGCCAAACCTATCCGTTGTTGTCCAGCATTTCTTTTTATGTTTTGAAGTGTGCTTTGGGTTGAGGTCGTACACGGCCAGCAGGCCGGACTTGGTTTGCATTCGGAATGCCGAATTGCGACATGCTACTGCCAAGTGTCGCTGACGCAGTTTTCCTGGCGAATTGCTGTGGATCCCAACATCTTTGGATTACAAGGTGTGTCGAGGTCTCAGCACAGTGGTTGAAATCACGTGTCCTGCGTGTCTTTTCCGTGCTTTGGCGTGCGGAACTTTGTCAGGCGAAAAGGGCAACTGTCTACCAGCTTTGTTTTTGGAATGCCCGACTCTTGGAGCATGTTTCCACGTTTGACTGGCGATGATTTCACAGAGAGCTGCTCAGCATCATCTTGGCAGACAAGGTACCGGCGCTCGATACCTCATCTTTGTTCATCACAGCAACGGTGAGGACGCAGTGCAAGCAACTGCCAGGCTTGCTGTGCATCAGTGGATGTCAGTAAGTGTGCTTGGAAAGACCTCGAGCAAGTTTTTTCGTGCTCTTGAGAACTTCTCACCATATGTTTTTTTGTGCTTGCCGATGTGGGGCAAGATCCGAAGAAAATATAAGAGAGTGTGGGCCGTCGTCAGAACTTGAGAATCTTGGTGTCAGGACCTGGGCATGTGTTACACTTTCGCGCGCCGTTTGCGACAACTCTTGGAGGCTGAATGCCGCAGTTCCTCTCATCGTGTCAGGCCTTTTTTTGTGATGGGGAGTATAGCACGTGTACGCAGGTCCATGTCCTGATCATGGAGTACCCTGGCTATGGTATTTGTCCTGGTACGCCTTCGGAGGAGATACAAGCAGCTTCACTTCATGGGGTCTGCCGGGCATGCTGGCGAACAGGAGAGCTTCTGCCAGGCTTCTCAAATCTGCCTGAAATTTGTGGTGGAGGCCTCGATCACACGAAGTCTTCCTGTTCTCACGATTTGATTGCCGTTGTCTCCTACTACAGCGCAGGTGCTTGGCATACCAGAGTCGGACATCATTGTACTTGGTCGCAGTTTGGGAGCGGCCGTTGCATTGCAAGCGGTTCGCAACCCAGGCTGTTGCCCACTAGTCCTTTTCGGTTCCGTTCTTCCTGAGTTCCGCGCCGTCCAGAAGCGTGCATGCTGCGTATGATTTTCTTGACGTCGTACCGCACGCTCAAGGCTGCTGCGTCGGCAGTTTGTGGCCTCGTTCTTGTTGCTCCGTTCCTCAGCCTCCAGGAAGCTGTTGGACAGTTGCTTGGCGTGATGAGCTTTGCGGGCCGCAAGAGGGGGCATCAAGAGTGTTATAAGAGTGTTGGGCGTTGGGCATATGACACACTTGCCACTGTCACGCAAAGAGGGAAGAGGTCGTTGGTGTGCCAAAGTTGGTGTGCCGAATTAGACCCATTTTGCAGAGTTGATGTCGTGGTTTATTTTGGCGCCAAAGAGAAGGCTGCAGCTCCGTTCATCTAACAGATTCATGGGCAATTCTGTGACATCATGCTTCAACTTCCAGGCTCCCATGTACTGGCCCAACATCCCTTGTCGCCTTGTCCGTAAAGTCAGTTAGAATCTGCACGTGCCTCGATGTTATGTTTTTGGTGTAAGCAAGATGTCAGTGGAACATGAGGTTCACTGGGAAGGAAACCTCGAAGTTGTTGGTGAACAACATGTTCCGCAACAACGAGGTCATCAAGAGCATTAAGGCCCTGCCTGGCCCTGCTTTGAGCTTTGCCTTAAGCTTTGCATTGAGCTTTGCATTGAGCTTTGCATGGAGCTTTGCATTGAGCTGTCGGCTTCTTGTCACGCTGGTTTTCCCGACGTTGGCTCACAGCATTCATTGCTTAGTCGCGTCTTTGGTAGATTTCGGTTGGGGCTGGCTAGGAAAGACGGGTCAAACCTGGCAAGACTGACAAGCATGAAGTTACAACAAGTCTTGGAAGCAACTGCTGACTGAGTGGCTGGCATCAAAGCATGCCCTGTCCGATGTCCTTGTCTCTCCGCCTGCCCCCTCACGTCGTGCCAAAGGAGCCGCTGCGGTGCGGGTTTGGTCGGGCAAAAGCTCAGGCGTGGATTTCCGAAGTTTTGCCTAGCCGATGTCCACTGGTATGATCGGCTGGATGTGAATGTTGCATCGCTTGATTTCCACTTGCGGCGCGCAGGTGAAAGAACCTTGTCGACCTGGTTTGAGCATGTGCCTGCTGGTCGCAGCAGTTGGGCATCGCCGACGCTGTGCAATGCGTTTTGCTAGTACTGGCAGCACTGGCCAGAAGGACAGAGCGCGGGTTGCTCCTCCACAGCAAAGCACGGCAATGCACAGCAAACACTCAGTTACACAGTTACACCGACTTGCACCTTGACTCAAGGAGTCCAACAGTGAGATCAGTGAGGATCACAGTGAGGATTACAGAGAGAACCAAGAGGATGGGCCTCTGGAAGGCGAAAGCGAGGAGCAGGCCCAGGCTGAGGAATCCTGGGCCTCCGACCTGCTGCTCGCCATTCTTCGCTTCTACCGACAGTTCATCTCGCCGTTGTTGCCTCCGAACTGCCGGTATTTTCCCAGCTGCTCAAGGCCCTGGAATGACTGCTTCTGTGACTTCTGTGACTTGTGTGGCTCACAATGTGGCATTGACTCATAGGTGTTTGTGGTGCCAGGTACGGCATCGAGGTTGTCAAGAGGTACGGCGCGTTGAAGGGCAGCGTGCTTTTCTTTTGGCGCTTGATTCGATGTACGCCCCTCGAGCCTCGGACTTCTATAGATGTTGCATTAGCTTACTAGCTCCTTTGCTGATCGTTGACGATGCCACCTCGCCGAGTTTCCTGTGGATCGCAGCAAAGTCGTGTGGGCCTATGGCAGGCTGACGCAGCAGCAAGTTTGTGAGGTGACTTTCCATTCTTGCCGATGCCACTTGCAGCCTCGTTTGCAGCGTTTGCAGCCAGGTTCTGCGTTTCAGACGAGCCGGAGGTTACTTGTCAGTGCTCGCATTTGATCTGTGCATTTCATGTGGCACCATCACGATCACGGCTCATGCATGCACATGCTTTCGCATCGTCAGGCATGGCATGACAAGCTATTTGGCGGATCGACTTCGTCAGGCCACTGCAGAATCTCCCACCGTGTTTTGACTGTAACCGAATGGTTAAACGGAAGATGCCTGTAGAACTTGAAGGCCTTCAAGAAACAGCCGCGGACAGCCAAGAGTGCGATGCTGGAGCAAAAGTGTTGCGTATGACTCCGTGACTCGCAAGCTTGTGAATGTCCAGCTATGTTTTCTTAATCTGTGTATCATACGCGTATGCAGCTGGTCGCACAAGTCTGGCAGGTTCCAACCCTCATCATCCATGGCGACCAGGACAGGCTTGTAGACAGCTCGCAAGGCCATCCGATCTATAGATAGGTGTTGCACACTGAAAAGGGCTTTGATTTGGTGTGCGGCAATGTGTGCGGGAAGGGGTGTTCAATTCAAGTGGATGACATGGTGCAAACTCTGCCGACGGAGCTTCTGACCTTGTGAGCCGTTGGCCCCCTTTGGTCCATCTCTTGCTGGATTCCGCGCAGTCAGGCAAGCAGCTTCTGGACCTGTGCCCCAGCCATCCACTGAGATTAAGCCATGCTAACCATGCTGCACATGACAGAGGACAGCATCTGTTGGAGTGGCATTGCTGCTGCGATTGCACAGCCAGCAAAAAGGAGCTAAAGAAAGAGAGTTGTCTCCAAAGCTGCAGGTGACAAGAAATGCTTTGTCAGTCCGGCTGGAATGGGTGGAAGCCTCAGTTTGCTCTTCCCTTTTCCTTAGCAGTCTCGACATGCATAGCACATGTATGCTTCGAACCCCAAAGCTAGAAAACCTAGTCTGAAGAGGCTTTGAACCATAGGTCACAACGATGATCTGCTGGCCAGTGCTGACCTCTTGTGGAGGCCCCCATAGCGGACATTTACAACGGTTTGATGGCCTTCCATGTCGTAATGGCACACATGTGCAGGCCGATGGTGGAGTTCTTTGCAATACCGGCTTCGCCCTCATCATGTCGCGCCGTCCTTGACTGCAGTCCAGATTTGATTGGGCCAGTGTGCCGCCGAGGACTATGATTTCCGTCAGCTGTGTTTGCCCAAAGAGGCGCTGCGGCTGATGTGCTAACCCGTCCTCACAACAGAGACGGAGAAAGTGACACACGCACATTCACACACATTCACACACATGCACGCACGCACGCACGAACGCACGCACCCGCACGCACGGCAGGCACACACGCACATATACGCACACTGTTTTCCTGCATGTTTGCCGCTTTGCCGAGTAGATCAGGCTTTCGTTACGTGAGTTACACCAAAAATGCACTTCAACAAACCTGATATTTCTGTGCAGTATAGCCATGAATAACCACTGTGCTCTGCACGCGGTGATTCCTGCAGTTATATGCATGGCCCTTCGCGGAAGCGCTTTCCGCGATGTCGCGACGGCCTCACTTCGGCAAGGGCCTGGGGCATCCTTTCTGCGCCTTGGCTGCAGTTCAACAAGTGATGTCATGAAAAAGACAACAGGTGTCTCGCTGTGAAGTGGATATGTTCAGGTTCGTGGATTGCCGCAGCTACCTGTTAGAACTACTTCCAGATCCCTTGGACTGGTGCCTTGGTCTGTACATTCTGTACGAACTGAGGCAAACACTGAAGTCCTGCTGAAGAGTACCGTAGCAAGCAAAGCCACCTCCATTGTTACGTTTCACAATGGAATGGGAGTGGGCGTATCTCTCCAGAGGAGAGCGCTGCAGTGCGCATGCCGCTGGCGAACTGGAACAGAGGATCTGCTGGCTGAGGCATGTCCTTGGGTTCTAAAGTTTGCGGGGCATTTCGTGGATCCGGCAATCCTAGTTTGTTTCAGGTGCATGTTGACCCACGTCTGCGGTCAGCCATTGGCCAGTGCTGCCGCGCGTTGCGCAGGTTCTTGGCCATTTCTTGCCATGTGCATTGTCGGTGCAAGGTTTTCATTTTTAAGGAGTGGCTCACTATTTTTCGCGAATGCTACTCTTACGCAGTCTCCTGCCAACAACAGAAGTGCATGATGCACTTCTTTTGCAGGCTACCTCAGGATGACTTACTGGGTGACATGGTGAAGTCGGCTCAGCTCAGCGCGGAAAGTGTACGATTCTTTGTCACGCTCATGGGGGCGCGGCCGAAGGGCTTGAAGGACCAGGTCTGCCTCCTCTCCTAGCGCTTCAGTATGCTTGCAGCACGTAACAGTTTTATGACTATATGCTGTGCGCGTGTGCGCAGGTTCTCGACCTCGGCTGGTGGCACGCGCAACTGGTTTCCGAGCAAGGTCAGCAATGGAGCTGTTTTCGTGATGTCTTCAGCAGCTTCAGCACAGACGCGCGTCCAGGAACTGCTTTGGGCCTGTGGCTTCAGAGCTCGAACCTCCAGGAACTATCCCTTGCTGAATGCGATGGCGGGCGTGGGAGTTAACAACCATCTCATGATATCCAACAACCACTAGCATGTAACGTGTACATGATGCCACATGATGCCGTCCTCGCCCCGGGTCATCCGCCAGGCTTGCTTCAGGACGACGGCCTCTCCCGTATCCTACGAGGTCTAGGCAGTTCGCAGCTCCAGCTCAGGTCCGGAAGCCTCACGCGTTACGGCATGCGACCTTCAGTCCACCATGCACGAAGAATGCCACCCATGCTCCAGGCATCTCAACCTGTGCGCAGCCGAGCTTTGCCCATCGCATGCGGCACCTCTCGTCGACATCATTGCACGATGTCCGCTAGAGGCCGACTAAACAATCAAAGCATCATTGCACTTTGTGGATGCAACAACGCCATGCCAGTACATGCTTGTGCATGCCTTTGCGTGCCCTTACATGTTACAACCAAGACCTTGAACCTGGCTTTCAACGGTCGGCTCATGATACCAGCGGGATTGGAAGGCCATTGCCACAAGTGCGGCATGCGCAATGCGCACGCCAATATAAGTGCTTCTTTATTCGAAGGCTTGGCACGAGCGGCGGACAAGCGTGTATTTGGCGTACAAAGGCTGGCTGGGAGCTGAGAAGACTGTCGGTTTCATGCAATATGTCCAGTTTTGCTGCCATTCACCAACATGACGAACGGGCGGAGTTTCAGCAAGAGATTCAGGTACTGAAGCATTGCGAGATTGCCGCCAAAGCTGCGGTACCCCTTGCAGCCTGGCTGGGCCACATGCCGAACCTTCGAGAGCCTGGGGCCTGGTTAAAATAGCGAAAAGGCTCAGGGGCTGTGACGCGTTGCGACGAGCAGGAATATGACAGAATGGCGGAAGCACCATAAATATCATCATCACCAGCATCACCAGCATCACCATCATCACCATCATCACCATCATCACCATCATCACCATCATCACCATCATCACATGTAGTCGTCGTTTGTCCTTTGCTGCATTTTGCAGCCTTGCATTTCCCAGGCTGAACCTCGACTGGAATGTGGAGCTCTACACCTCCCTCGGCCTGCGCGGCCTGGTGCAAGGAATGGGTGCCACTTGGCGCGGTGAACGGATATACATGAAGGTTCTGAGGATTGCAGTTCACCGAACATGCATCGAACTTTGAGCTAGATTTCGTCCCCCTCCGTCCCACACAAGTTGATGAACAGACTTGTTTGCTGTTAGATGGTAGCATTTGCAACAGATTTGCTCCTTAGCTACCTGTTGTTGTTGATCTTTTTCGGAAAGTTTCTTGTCAAGCCTTGCAGCGTTCCAGTGTTCAAGGTGGAGAGGATGTCGGTCGCTTCGGGTGTGCTGCGGACGCTGCGGGTGCTCAAGCTGCAGGGCTGCCAGCTGCCGGATAGCACGGCGGAGGCTGAGCGGAGTAGCATCCATGTGTTAATCATGAACAATCATTCGAAATGGACTTTGTAGTGGAGTGGCATGTCCAAGACCTTGGGAGTGATGCTTCAGGGTCCACCATCATGTTCTTTCATGCAGGTGGCGCTCATGGACTTCCTTCGGCAATGTACCGCCTTGCAGCTGCTTGAAGTGCCGAATTGTGCTGCATCCCAGCGCATTTGGTCGCGACGTGGACTCGACCAAACAACTGCTCAGAGCGTCTGGAAGAAGCAGGGCTTTCTGCAAGCGCTGAGGCCTGGTGGGCTGCGTTCGGTAGTGAGGCGGTAGTGAGGTAGCTGCTAGGCTATAGTGCTTGTGCACCCCAAGGCAATCGGAGGTGAGGGAGTGCTTGCGATGCCTGCTTCCTGGACCGGTGCACCCCGGTGCACCCCTGTTGGTCTGCGTCAGCAAGTGGCAGGCAGATGTAAGATTCTTATGATTTCTTATGACAATGTCAGCAGGACCTTTGGATTGGCGGGCTCTTCAGATTGCATGCCGTTGGGGAGACTCAGCATCCGCCGGGCCTCTGGCTGAGGCAAGGTCCACCTGTCTATTCTTAGAAGCCAACCGTGGTGTACCATGGAGCTTCACTTTATTGCTGGCTCAATCTTAAGTCACTCAAGTCTTCAGGATCTCAAGGCTCCAGGAAGCATGAGCATGTAAGTCTGCTTTCCCTGACGTTCGTTCCCAAACCTGTCGTAGCGGCACAACTCTCGACTTGGCAAGGTTCATCGTCGGCCCCGCCTTCGGTCAGCAGCTGTCAGGCTGTCCCGGCGTCTGCGAGGCTTGGGAGACCTTCTCGGAACGGCGGCCCTCAAACATTCAGCAGAGGACTGGTGACCAGACCCGTGGGCATGCCTTCCCCCCTAATTTCACACGTCTACACGTTAGGAGCTTCGCTTCGCAGTGGAGATTCTCGGCGCGAGACCGAGGCAAGCTCCGCCGGTCCGACTTCCTGAGAGCCTTAGTCGCCTTAGAGGTACTGCACAGTGCCTTGCAATGGAAACACCATCTCAGCATGTAGCTGCAAGGTAGCTGCAATGTACTTAGGATTCGAATGTTGGACTTGAGCCATGAGCATCTGCTCACAGGCTCGGGCTGCAGTTCTAGCTCAAGCAAGGTTCAAGCTGGACTTGGCGCTCTAGCTTAACGTAGACACGCCGGTGACACGCCACGGAGAATTTGATGAATCATTTCAAAGGTGGAAGGATGTTGGTACCTCTTCAAGGGCAAGCCCTTGGCATCTTCCTCCGGCACTGCCCACAGCTCGAAGAGCTTCGAGTGCTGGGTGACTCGGCTCAGCGGCTCTGCTGGCTCCTTTTGGTGCAGAAGGAGGGGGCTGTTGTCAAGTTGTGAAGTTGCACTCGCTGTGCTCATTGTGCCCATGATTGCCATCCTGAGGCCATGCGCAGATCTGCACGGCTGCGGGCTTGGAAGGCCTAGTCGCAGGCTTGCAAGGCCTGTCTCTTCCACTCAGGAGAGGGCTTTGTAGAGGCAACGTCTACTGTGATGGAGCGGGTGCGCCTGCAGATGGTGGATGATCGGGGTCGTGCGACTTGAGGACGCTGCTTTTTGGGGGTTGCGGCGTTTCCGAGCACGCCGCTCACTGTCTCGGTGCATCGGCAGCAATCGCTGGCACGGTTCATGTTCAAAGATGCTCAAAGCATGTATGACCGAAGGTCAGTTTCTCCGTCAATGTCCTCGCCTAACATCTCTGAGCTTGGCTGGCAGCTGGCAGCTCTGTACGGCTGCTGGTCTCCGTGCCATTACCCAAACGTGGGGAGAAGGAGTCTTGGTTTCGACGTCATTCATTCCTTTCCTGCATGCACCGGAGAACTCACGCGCATGTGCGTCCGTGTTGCTCTTGTGTTTTCTACCAGATACGCTGCCACTGGAGCTGTTGAATCTCACCAACTGCCGCCTGAAGATTCCTTCGGCACAAGCGCTGGGAGAGCTCCTTAGGACCGCACAGATCTTCAGTAGATGCGAGTTGTTTGCATGATTTGGTTCCTTTTGGAGGACTATAAGTGACTATAAGGCATGCTGCAGGAAATGTTGCTTCCTCACCCAGCTGGTGCTGTCGGGCAACCAGGCAGGGTATCTCGCAGACTGCTCGCAGACCCTTCTGCCTTGAACCTTCGGCATCTGCTGCCTCTGCTGACACTGCTGACACTTGGTGACCTCTGCAGGATTTCTTTGATGCTCGGGCCATCTTGTACTTGCTGAAGGGCCTGGGCGATGGAGGCCCAAGTTCTGACCCAAACGATCTGAACATATCTGAACTCATCCCGAGATCAGAAGCTGGGACTCTAGATGCTTCTGCAGGACTTCCGAAATTGCGGGAGATCGCATGGTCCCCGCAGCACCTGGTGGACATGAGTGAGGCTTTCCAGAAGGCGAGCAGGAAAGATTGCATGCAGATGTCAGGCTTGTTGTCTGTCCTTGTTTGCGCTGTGTTCAAGTGCCCATGCATCTACAGTTCTGCTTGGTCTTGCACCAGGAATTTGGCTGCTTCTTGCGTCGCTGTTCGCTGCTTCGACAAAGCTCGGCCCGGCGACAAAAAGATGCCAAAGACATGTCGAATACGTCAAGTGACATCTCAGTGACTGCAGTGACTGATGGGCGTTTGTGTAGGGCTAATGCCTTTAGAAGGGACGACTGTCTTCAGAAGGCCCTTTAAAGCTAGCGTGATGTCTTCCCAATCAGAGGCTTTCGACAAGCGCCTCTGCCCTCTGTACCACGGAGTGGTCGAGGCCTCCTTGGGGAGCTCTCGTAGCACTTCGCAGCTCTTCGAATCTCGAATATCTCGATACTCTCGCCGGATCCCTGAAAACCCAAATTTGGATGCAGATGACGAAAGACGATCGGCCTCTCTCGGCATCGATGGGAGACGAGGCTCAGGAGAGCTGCAATTGCAGATGCAGACTGCGTTTTTGGCAGTGCGTTTTTTGCAATGAGCAGCAGATCGACGAGATTACTCTCTTACACACGCGTCTCAAGTTACCTGTCGACTTGGGGTGTGCACGCTCCACGCTGGGAAAGCTTCGCCCGCAGTCGGGAATCTTCTAGGACAGTTCAAAGGGCATTTGGCCATCATGATGAGACTACTGGTACGACTGTTCCTGCTACCACCCTGTTATGCCCGACTCCTGAGAACCCATGAGCACGTCCATTGATTCCGAACGGTATAGTCAAACCTGAAAGCCGTAAAGTAAAGCCTTACCCTGAAACTGCAGCCATAAACGTCATTTCAAGCCACAAATCTTACAAAAGTCATAAAGTCTTAAAAGTTCACAAAGTTCACACAGGTGCTACGTCCAAAGGTTTATGGTTTTAGGGTCGCAAACGCTGGGCCCAAGAAAAAACTTAAGGTTAGGAACAGTATGCACTGCAAAAAAAGCACTGCAAAAAGGCACTGTGACATCAGATTGCCCAATATCCACCGCACCCACCCCTGTGGTCAGCTGGGTGGGATTGAGCGTTCTTGGAAAAGACTTCCTCTTGCAAGTTCAACAGCCTGACAAGCTGGACAATGCGTCCACATCCGCTCGTTGCGTCAACCTTGTTCGGTTTTGTGGAACTCCTGGAACTGGAGGTTTGAGGTGGACTGGACCCGGCCGAATCCGCCGTCGCTATAGGCGATCGCTCAGTGAGGTATGATCCACTCTTGACCGGTCGGCTGGGAGGTTTGCTCTCTCTGTGCCCCTGCCAGTGCGCAGGATGTTTTGTTCGTCACATCTTGCATCCGGACCGATGGCTGGATGCACTGGGGCAGATACGTCAAAAATACGATCAGCCAATGGACCTGCATCGAGCTTGCTGGGCAATCTTGTGGTGTTCTGCGTCTTTTTCCTTCACAAGTCTCTCGACGCTCGGAATCATGTGCACCAGGTGCCTTTTGAAGCGAGCCTTGCTCAAGACTCAAGTCCAAAAGAAAAGTCTGACAAATCCAACGCTTGCAAAAAGACTGGACCAGAATTACAAGACTAACGGAAGCTGCAGCTAAGTGCGCCCCCTGCCCAGGAGATCTGGGGCGAGTTGCCGAGGCCACAGCTTTGCCCTTGTTTCCGGACCTGAATCCTTACCTGCACTGGGAAGCACGAAGAAACTAGCTTGCAATTGCAGGTGCGGTTCTGGTTGTAGGCATAGGCTCAGATTCCCGGCCTTCTGGTTCAAATCACGTGGGGGTACAGAGCTTACAACAGGTTGCTGCCGGACAGTGAACTTTCTAAGTCTCTAAGCCTTGTCGATCTTGATCCCGGGGGTGCATGCATGCTGCATACGTATTTCTGTCAGTCTACGGCGATGGCTTGCGCACCAGGAAATCTGTGACAGGGTTGATTGACGTTTCGAGCTTGCAAGCTGAGATAATCATGGATATCAGTTCTAAAATTTTCAAGGGTCGCTGAGCCACCGCGTGCGTACTGCAGGCTGCCTCAGAGCCCATGCAGAGGCACTGCCTCTGTTGTTTCCCTTTTCGCTGAAGCTGGTTTGTGGACGTTTGTGGCCCTGCGAGTTTCATGCGTGCCTAGTCATGTTCTGGGGGGTTGTGTCATGTTGTCTGGGTTGGACCTTCGGTCAACAGGACCCACCTTCCGCGACGACCGCTGTCAGCGCCTGGCCGAGTGCCCAGGGACAATCCCTTCCATGCTAAACAGCCCTGAGCTACTCGATTCCTGCCGCCCCCTTCCTGCCCCTTCTTGCCCCTTCCTGCCTCTTCCTGCCCCTTCCCTTCCCTCTTTCTGACAACTGAGGTGGGTGATCTCCAGCTGCCAGAAGTCGATGAGGGTGATGTCAGGCTTCTGAATTTGTGCACAGTCTGCTGTGGTGAACTGGCGTGGGGTTTTCGTCGCAGGTATCCTCGTGGTGATGATTTGTCAGGCTTCCTGCTGCCAGTAGGAGTCGAGCCGTGCACGGGTGCGAGTCCGTTTGCCAAGAGGCTCGGTGCTGGGGCTGGACTTGAATGCTGGAATCGCGAGATATTTGGCGTCCTAGTCTGAGATGCCCTGAGCACAGGTTGACTTGCCGTCATGCAACTTTTTCCCAGCAAATCTGACGTCAGGTCTCCTGAAGCAAGCGGCCCCAGTGCGAAAGATCGGCGTTCACAACGTGAGACCCGTCCTGAAGTTGATGTCCGTGGGCAAAGCAGCTGTTCAATGCCAGCAGCTGCTGGCTAGGCTCTTCACACAGACACGGGTGAAGTTGTACATAGGGCTGCCTCCCCTGCATCCACTGACTCTTGCCCTCTTGCCGAAATGGAGCAGGAGGATGATGCTCACCCGTATGGAATGGCATGTATGCTTTCAGAACGTTCGTGGGCGTACCTCCACGCTTAGCACCCGAGAAATGCAGAGGAATCGGAAATGCGCAAAGATTCACATAGCACACTTGGCAGTGTATCCTGTCCTACACGGGACCTCGAAGCATGTCCTAAGCTGTTTGCGTAAAGTCGTGGATGTCATTAGCCGGCTTTCTGTTGTCGCCTCGTACGTATGCCAGTAGACCAGTTTTCAGGCCAGGGGTGGGGGGGGGGGGGGGGGAAGAAGGAAAAATATGTATAATGCGGTTTGGCCCTGGTTTGGCCCTGGGACTTTAATATTTTAATGTTCGGTGGATCTGGCCCTGGACCCTTAATATTTTAATATTCAAGGCTTGACTTTAATATTAAAATATTAAAATATTAAAGTCCTGGGGTCTCTGGCCAGGCCTGAGGCAGAAAAGGACTTTAATATTAAAATATTAAAGTTTTTTAAATATTAAAGTCCCGGGCCGGACTTTAATATTTTAATATTCAAGGCTTGACTTTAATATTAAAATATTAAAATATTAAAGTCCTGGGGTCTCTGGCCAGGCCTGAGGCAGAAAAGGACTTTAATATTAAAATATTAAAGTTTTTTAAATATTAAAGTCCCGGGCCGGACTTTAATATTTTAATATTCAAGGCTTGACTTTAATATTAAAATATTAAAATATCAAAGTCCTGGGGTCTCTGGCCAGGCCTGAGGCAGAAAAGGACTTTAATATTAAAATATTAAAGTTTTTTAAATATTAAAGTCCCGGGCCGGACTTTAATATTTTAATATTCAAGGCTTGACTTTAATATTAAAATATTGAAATATTAAAGTCCTGGGGTCTCTGGCCAGGCATGAGGCAGAAAAGAACTTTAATATTAAAATATTAAAGTTTTTTAAATATTAAAGTCCCGGGCCGGACTTTAATATTTTAATATTCAAGGCTTGACTTTAATATTAAAATATTAAAATATTAAAATATTAAAGTCCTGGGGTCTCTGGCCAGGCCTGAGGCAGAAAAGGAACTTTAATATTAAAATATTAAAGTTTTTTAAATATTAAAGTCCCGGGCCGGACTTTAATATTTTAATATTCAAGGCTTGACTTTAATATTAAAATATTAAAATATTAAAGTCCTGGGGTCTCTGGCCGGGCCTGAGGCCTCTGCCTCAGGCCTGGCCAGAGACCCCAGGACTTTAATATTTTAATATTTTAATATTAAAGTCAAGCCTTGAATATTAAAATATTAAAGTCCGGCCCGGGACTTTAATATTTAAAAACTTTAATATTTTAATGTGAAAATCCTTCTCTGCCTCAGTCCTGGCCAGAGACCCCAGGACTTTAATATTTTAATATTTTAATATTAAAGTCAAGCCTTGAATATTAAAATATTAAAGTCCGGCCCGGGACTTTAATATTTAAAAAACTTTAATATTTTAATATTAAAGTCCTTTTCTGCCTCAGGCCTGGCCAGAGACCCCAGGACTTTAATATTTTAATATTTTAATATTAAAGTCAAGCCTTGAATATTAAAATATTAAAGTCCGGCCCGGGACTTTAATATTTAAAAAACTTTAATATTTTAATATTAAAGTCCTTTTCTGCCTCAGGCCTGGCCAGAGACCCCAGGACTTTAATATTTTAATATTTTAATATTAAAGTCAAGCCTTGAATATTAAAATATTAAAGTCCGGCCCGGGACTTTAATATTTAAAAAACTTTAATATTTTAATATTAAAGTCCTTTTCTGCCTCAGGCCTGGCCAGAGACCCCAGGACTTTAATATTTTAATATTTTAATATTAAAGTCAAGCCTTGAATATTAAAATATTAAAGTCCGGCCCGGGACTTTAATATTTAAAAAACTTTAATATTTTAATATTAAAGTCCTTTTCTGCCTCAGGCCTGGCCAGAGACCCCAGGACTTTAATATTTAATATTTTAATATTAAAGTCAAGCCTTGAATATTAAAATATTAAAGTCCGGCCCGGGACTTTAATATTTAAAAAACTTTAATATTCTAATATTAAAGTTCTTTTCTGCCTCAGGCCTGGCCAGAGACCCCGGCACTTTGTCAAATCCCTCTGCGCCACGGGAAAATCTGGCCAAATCGGGCGGCTACCTTTGGGAAGTGTGGTAAATACCAATCAAAACGGGGTATCGGGATTTCACAAAGTGCTGCGGATAATCCGGCGTCGAAAATACCAATCAAAACGGGGCATAATTTCACAAAGTGCCGCAGGAAAATCTGGCCAAATCGGGCTGCTACCTTTCGGAAGTGTTCAAAATACCAATGAAAACGGGGCATAGGGATTTCACAAAGTGCCGCAGAAATCTGGCCAAATCGGGCTGCTACCTTTCGGAAGTGTGCAAAATACCAATGAAAACGGGGCATAGGGATTTCACAAAGTGCCGCAGAAAATCTGGCCAAATCGGGCTGCTACCTTTCGGAAGCGTGGAAAATACAAATCAAAACAGGGCATAGGGATTTCACAAAGCGCCGCGGAAAATCTGGCCAAATCGGGCTGCTGCCTTTCGGATGCGTGGAAAATACCAATCAAAACGGGGCATAGGGATTTCACAAAGTGCCGAGAGAAAATCTGGCCAAATCGGGCTGCTGCCTTTCGGATGCGTGGTAAATACCAATCAAAACGGGGCATAGGGATTTCACAAAGTGCCGAGAGAAAATCTGGCCAAATCGGGCTGCTACCCTTCGGAAGTGTGGAAAAACACCAATCAAAACGGGGCATAGGGATTTCACAAAGCGCCGAGACAAAATCTGGCCAAATCGGGCTGCTACCCTTCGGAAGGGTAGCTGGGTTAGTTGTAACTCTTATTTTTGCTTAGTTGTAACTTTTGTTTTTTGCTTAGTTGTAACTTGTCGTCACTGAACTGTTAGCAGGGGCAGTATTTGGCGCAACCCTCCCCCCCCCCTCCACCCGAGCATGCCGATGGGCCAAGAATGGTGCCGTCTTTTGGGTCTACCCTAAAACCCTAAACCTAAACCTTAAAATAATGGAACCCTAAAACCATGAAAGCCTAAGACCCTAAAACCCTCCTAAAACAATAGAACCCTAAAGCCCTAATACATCCTAAAATCCTAAAACCTTAAGACCCTAAAGCTCTAAAGCCCTATAGGCCATAAAACCCTTAAATAATGGAACCCTAAAGTGCTAAAACCTGAAAACCCCGAACTACGAAGTAGGACCCTAAAACCCTAAAGCGGACCCTAAAACACTAAAGCCCTAAAGCCCAAAGGCCCTAAAACCCTAACACTCGAAAGCCCTAGCACCTTGAACCTACCTGGGGTCTTCGAAGACCGCATTTCCTGATTTTAAGGACTCCCCCTAGGTCGGTGCTTAGTTTTGCGTAGTAGGCGTAAAAAAAGGACGAATACCCACCCCCCAAAAAAAAACAAACAGTACAAGAATACCCAAATAAATTGTGCATCCTTATTACTGCTGTTGCTTGTATTACTATTGTTGCTATCATTCATATTTTTAGTCTGATGACTGTTACCTCCATTATTACATGTGCTTTTGTTAGGAACCCTAAACCCAAACCTTAGGCCCTAAACCCTAAACTCTAACCCCTAAAAGCCGTAAGCCCCCAACGCCCTAAACCCCCAAATCCGAAATCCCAAAACACTAAACCCTAAAAACCTTTGGCCCTGAAAGCCCCAAGCCCAAAACCCTCAGGGCTGCCTGACAGCCCGAAATGCTAGGAAGCCTAGAAACCCGAGGCGCTAGAAGCCTTCAGCCATAGTAGAAACACAGGCCTAAAGCCCAAATGTCGCTGAGGCCTAAACGCCCTAAACCCTAGAAGCCCCAAGCCCCAGCTGGCCCTAAAACCACTGAGGCCTTAAAGCCCTAAGCCCGTAAAGCCTGAACCCTAAAGCCAACAGCCTATGCCTTAACTCCAAAAACCCAAACCCGAGGCCCTAAACCCTAGGTATTTCACAGCATTTGCAGTTTGAGGCCGAAAAAAAGTTACAGGTAAGCAAGGGTTATGGCGCGAAAAAAGTTACGAGTCAGCAAAAACAAGTTACAACTAAGTAAATCCAGCAAAAACACCAAAAGTCACAAGTAAGCAAAATGACAAGTTGCAACTAAGCGTGCTTCCTTCGGAAGTGTGGAAAATACCAATCAAAACGGGGCATAAGGATTTCACAAAGTGCCGCGGAAAATCTGGCCAAATCGGGCTGCTACCCTTCAGAAGTGTGGAAAATACCACTCAAAACAGGGCATAGGGATTTCACAAAGTGCCGCGGAGAATCTGGGCTGCGTAGGGATTTCACAAAGTGCCGCGGAAAATCTGGCCAAGTCGGGCTGGTTACCTTCGGAAGCGTGGAAAATACCAATCAAAACGGCGCAGGATTTCACACCACATCGGGCTGCTACCTTTCGGAAGTCAGTGTGGAAAATACCAATCAAAACGGGGCATAAGGATTTCACAAAGTGCCGCGGAGAATTCGGCCAAATCGGGCTGCTACCTTTCGGAAGTGTGGTAAACACCAGTCAACATCCCTGTCGCCCCATGTCGTTTTGCAGTATTTGTGAGGGTTTGTAAGGTCTCGGTGCAATTCCAGCGCATGTTGCTACATGTAGTCGCGGAGTACATTCATTTCCCTTGAGTTTTCCCTTGTTGTTTTTTTGCCGCCCGCATTTTCAAGGGAAACCCTTCCCTTGAAAACCCCGCGGAACCCTGCTTCCCTTAAGATGTCCCTTTAAACGTGTTGGTTTCCGTTTGCCTGTTCCCTTGAATTCCCTTTCAATCTTCCCTTGAACCGTTGGCGGCGTCGCGCGGGAAGCCAAACGCCAGCCCAAAATGAGGCCTTTTTTCCCGCCGAATCCCGCCAAACGTGCGCTTTTCACACTCCAAGGGAAA